AACTAATAACTGACCATCCCTCACATCAGAAATATCAATTCCTAGGCCACTAAGTACAGGCTACAAAAGACAGACAGAAATGTCACTGTAAAAGACAGGAGGGCATGTAGATGACTCATCTGCCTAGACTCTTCACTCTAGTTCACATTTCTGAGATTATTGGCTAGCATTTTTTAAAAACCAGGCCACAATCTTAAGTATGCTACTTTGTACAAATATTCAAAGATTTGAATCATACACAGAGAGAGAGAGGTTAGAAAAACACTGCAGCAATTAAACAAGAAGTATGAACACATGTAAAATAACATTACTTCTTGGTGAGATGGAACATGCCTGTAATATCAGTGCTTGGGAGACTGAGGTTGGAAGATCATGAATTTGAGACCAGACTGAACTAGATCAAGCAAGACCCTGCTTCAAAATTAACATCCCAAATCAGTAAGACATCCCCACTATCCACCTAGGCTGGCAGGAAGGCTTACCTGATGTCTTTGGGAAGTTCTGGCAACTGCATCTTCTTCATCATGGCATAGTGTGAGATGGCCAGAACAGCCATCCCCAGGCACTCATTCTCAATGTCATGTCCATCCTGCTCTGTCTTGGGGTCCCGAATGGGAGCCAGGCATTTGATCAAATCATACTGTCCCTTGGGAGCAGAGAAGAGAAAAAAATGAGCCACCACCTAAGCTTCAGGAGCTACCCATGTTGATCTTGAGAGGATCAAGATGGTCAAAATGCCACACAGTGAGTAATCCACACCACAAGGAAAGGAATCGGTGTCTCCAGTATCAAGGCTGTTTCCACTAAAGAAGTTAAGAATATGTTCTCCCTACATCACTTCATTCATTCATTTAGTGAGTATTTACTGAGTGCTTGTCAAGGTGCTGGTGAAGAGCACAAATTCACAAAGCCCCATCACTGGGCTTGATACATAAACAATGCCTATACACAGTGTACATTAGGTCTGAACTGCATCAGAGCAAGACGAATAGCACTGACTCACAGCATTAATTTCATAAACATGCATTATCCAGCCTAGAATAGGGATTGTATGTATGGAGTTGGCAGGGCACCACCTCCCTTTCAGATGTGGGTTTGGGGAAAGAGTGAAGAATCTCATTCATAACTACAAACCATCAGTTTGTTCCACACATGTTATTCACACTTTCAGTATAGAAAAATGTCACCAGAATAAACTATCTCACAGATGGAGGAAGAGTATGTCATTCTACAAACCAATGGGGACTTCAAAAACAAGATATAAAACAAGACTAAAAACTAGTACCCACAACTAGCCTTGTTCAGAGCAATGGGCCTCTACAGGCTCACACTCATCAACTAACCTCCCTGCTAGATGTGTGAGGTGCTACTTAACTTCACCTTAGTCCTCACAACAGCTGTGTAAGAGCCCTGATAGGGAAGGGATTGAATAATGAGCAAGGCATTGTCCTAGGCACTAGAGACTTAGCAATGGAGAAGCCATATTTCTGACCTCATAGAGGGTCCATTCTGATAGAAGAAAAATAGGAATCACTAATATTAGATGCTCCAAAAAAGGAATTCAAATACAAGCGTGGCACATGAACAGGGGGAGGGGAGCCTGACTGTGACTCCAGGGTACATTTCCTCAACACCACAGCAGCCGCACCAACTCTCTGCCAGGCATTCCCACTCCAGCTACTCTGCCTGGGTGAAGATGGGTCTGGGAGAGCAGTTTCTACCGAGGCACTTTCTCTGAAAGCACTTCAGTCTCATGTTTTTGTTTTGTTGGTGACTGGGGTGGGGGAGTTGCTGTCACTGGCCAGTTCCACAGAGTTTTGAAGGAGAACAAGGACCTACACCAACAATGCTTGATTGAGGAGCAGAAAAAAATCTGAAGCTGAGATCTTGGGAAGAGAAGGGAGAACCTGTGACTGTCTGTGAACACTCTTTACAACTAACTCAAGGAACTCTATGCTGAGATGCTGACTTCCATAAGGTGAGGTTCTAAAGCAGGGGTCATGTCATTTCTGAAGCAGGACACTCCTCCTGTCTTCATGAGTTCTTCCCATCTTTCATAAAGTTTGTTCCTTTAAGACAGCTTCTCACTGAGGAACCAAGGCTGACCTCAAACTCACAGCATGAGTCTTTAAAGTGCTGGAGTTACAGGTGTCAGACACGGTGCCTGGCCCTCATGATTTCTTATGCAATATCTATGTATCATTTACAAACTACTGTTTCTTGTTGTCTAGCTTTAGTACACAATGGTGCATACAGAAACCATGTTGTTTCACCCAAGTACCCAATGTCTAGCTTTAGTACACAATGGTGCATACAGAAACCATGTTGTTTCACCCAAGTACCCAATGTCTTGGCAAATATAACTGCATAAAGCAAACAAGACACAGACACCCAGTAAATAACGTGTCACATAAATGAATTGATATGAGGTCAACAAAGGGACAGAAAACAGGGCAAAGAAAAGTTGTTAGTCTGGAAAACCCATAGGAGCCAGCTCCTTGGTTATCATACTACCTTCCCCAGTAACCCACCTTTCCCAATTACCAGGGCAAGAATATCACAGAATAGGCCATAAAGTGCCACCACGTAGAGCTTCATGGGGACTCTGAGCCCACCCAGTCTCACTCTCTCCACTAACTGCAGGTCTCCTGGCTCAGGCTTCCTACCTGTGCAAACAAATACTCCAGCGAACTAGCATCAAGGAGTGGGGTTGCTTCTGGAACCTTTTTCTTCTCATATCCATTTTTCTGCTTCTTTGGAGAATGTCGCCATACAGACTGCTCATTGTCATTGGTTCCATGCCAGTTGGTAAAGTAGAACCTAAAAGACAGTAAGAATAATGTCTTTTAGGCAGAAGAGCCCCTGAACTGCTGGCCTGGAAGAAGTGTCTACCCACAGGCCCATGCTGAAGCTGAATTGAGGAAATTGAAGACACAAGTCTTGCATCTACAACCTTCATCACCCTGAGCCAACAACCTTCTCCTCTTCAAGTGTGCCGTCACAATGTACGGCTTCAACATGTCCTCTGGGTAAGGAGGAAAATGTCCTGATGATCACAGGACAGCTGCTCTGACAGCTGTTAACAATGACCACACCTCCCTAGGTAAAACACCTGCGGCCTACAACTATCTGCTACCCCATAGCTCTTATCCTGCTTGGCTGACCTGTCTCAACCCAAGACCTTTCTATTCTTGGACCCACCATTTCTAAAATCAAGTTCTGCCCTTCAGTCAACTCTGATGTGGTAGTGTTTCTTAGGTCTTAGGTGGCTGTTATTGAATTGGTGATGTAGTTCACAATGAGCAAGGCCTCAAAAGAGAAACACAGAAGCATCAGCTGTGCGGGCATGATGAGAGCAAAGAGCATGCTTTACACTACCTTATCTTGACAGCAATACCCCAGGCAGATCTTGTTTCCTTGTGCAGATGAGCAAAACTGAAGTTCACTGGGGCAAAATGACCTGACACTCCAAGCCTGACTCACTACCACTTTGGCCTGCCACCTGTTGGGGAAACAGGATGGGTTCTGAGCTGGGGGAGAATGGCCCAGCTACACTGGCCCAACTGTTTCCAGGCTGCAGACTCAGCTCTGTCTGGGGCTTTCTCCCAAATGGGCCAATAAGGTGATAGAAAACCATGTCACTGAGAAGCAGTAACTCCCACCTTATGGAGCTCCTACTAAAGTCAGGCAACAAAACAGCCAGGGCATGATACAGAGGGCTCTCATGCTTAGTCTCTGCCCTCTGTGAGTTCCCCTGCCCCACAATACTACAAAACAACAGGAAGTGGAACACGTGTCATAAGCAGAACTACACTGCAGCTTTCACAGTCCCCATGTACTTCTCTTTTCCTCTATAAGTATCTGTTAAGAGCTACATTTGTAACTCTTAGAGTTAAGCTGTTAATTATGATTTTAAATAAAATGTAAACATTTCATGGAACCCTGATAAGACTGTAAGCTGTTAACATTGTGTTTAATAGGTAACTTGTCCAGAATGATAAATTATTCTGGGATGCACACAACCTACAGGCTACAGCCTGAACAGTCCTGGCTCTAGAATACAGACTGCAAGCAGGTACATGGATAAGACAAGATACTTTTGAAAGAAGAGGATGAGCTGAATTGGCCAGGAAATAAGCAGATACATCTTATTGTATCTGCCAGGGGCAAAGTGAAAGCTCCCTGGCAGCACAGGCCACAGCTGTCTTGCTCAGCACCAAATCCGCAGAGCCTATAATACAGCAGGTGCTAAATATGTGCTTGACAGATAAACAAGCGATGAACAAACTCAAGGAATAGCAGTCAACATGGAGAGGAAAGGATGGACACTTTAAAGGTAAAAGTAAGTATTTTTGCAGCTTTCAGTGGTTGGGCAGAGCTTATCATTTCTGTAGATCATGAAAGGAACTAGGAGACTGACTATGGGCTTTAGTGTTTTGCTAGCAAGAACCACAAGCTGCACAAACTACACCAGGTCACCAAAGCAGATGACAGATTATCCCCTTGGTTTCCCGTATGTTCTAGGAGACCAGTTTTCAGTTACAATGCAGTAGCAAGTGTTTCTGTGGACCCAGGCCTTACAGTATCCTTCACTGAAGGAACAGAGAATAGCAGAGAGGAGTCGGCGAGGCTCCACGATTCCTAAGCAGGAAGTAAGGAGTGAATCACCTGGCCTGCTACAAAGGTTCAACCAGGGCTATGAAGAGCACACAGGCCAGGTAAATCCCACTTAGTGTAGAGAAGAACCATGATAGAACCATAAGCACCACGTTCACCATGGCAGGTTTCCTGCAGCTTGCTGACAGAAGCACTGAGACAGATATTCTCTGAACCAATCCAACACATTCATCTAGGACTAAACAGCCTTGAATTGGTAAGCAAGGGACAGTGACGTGTGCTTACAATTTCAGTATTTGGGAGGCTTCTGAAGGAAGATTACAAGTTCAAGGCCAGTCTAGGCAACTTGGCAAGATACCACTGGAGGGAAAAAAAAAGGTGTTGCTCACTTTGTCAGCTCAAATACTAAAATTTGGAACAATACGGAGAATATTAGCATGGACCAAGTACAAGGATGACATGCAAAGGATGGCAGATCTGGGAAGCATTCTATACTTAAATTTAAAAGATGATTATCAATATTAACAACTTCCTAATTACTAATAAAACTAGAAACATGAACATGTCACTATGCCTGGCTTTTTATGTAGGTGTTAGGTGGTGATCCAAACTCAGGTCCTGACAAGCACCTTATTGTCTGGGCAGGCTTCAGTATAAAATTCTTCAAATTATCAATTTGAAGGAGAAAGCAACAGATCAGTCTTCAGAGTTCCTTGCCAGGCAGTGGTAGTGCACACCTTTAATCCCAGCACTTGGAGACAAAGGCAGAAGGATTATCTATGAATTAGAGGCCAGACTAAAAGACTACAGAGTAAGTTCTAGGACAGCAGGGCTACACAAAGAATCCCTGTCTAAGAAGGAATAAAATTCCTGAAAAACAATACTAAAGATGACTACACATTCTGAGTTTGCATTTAAACACAGTACATAATGAAAGTTTAAGTTTCTATAGAATTTTACTGAAGTCAGTTATTTTCACTTATAAGGGTATTTTTGCTTGAAAATAAAGAATATGATTGTCTTACATTAACATATACCATAAATAACTATTTAAACCATTAAGTAAAAGCAGAAAACCACAGTTAAAGTGAAAGAATATTGCCTAAAATAGAGCCAGGATGTCACTGAAACAGTCAGTCACCAGTACTAGTGTTCTTACTGCATCTTCCTCAGTGGTTAGATTACCAGCTTTCAAGCTCTTTGTAGACTGTTCTAATGCAAATGTTTGAGCTTAGGGTGGTATCTTTTTTCCAACTTCAAAGACACTGTGGTAACAAAGCAATATCCTGTTAAAGCGTACTGGCAGGTATAAAGTGGAGGTGACAGAACTAAGCCTCTGTGTACTTCCTGGCAGCTAACACAAAAGGTGAACGCAACCTGTGACCTGCAGCACTACCTAGACAGTTTACAAAGCCTGGAACTTCACCAGCTTTCCCACTGGAAAAATGGGAGAGTTGAGCAGGCAAGCTCAGGTCTCTTGTAAATGCCAAATGCTGCCATACTGGTCTCTGACCTAAGTCTAGACGCCTGCCTGGAAAGAAGCAGAACTGGAGGGCATGTCCCTGTCCAGACTTCCAGCTACAGGTCTGTCTCACAGTTCTGGTCAGAAAACCATTCCTTCCCCCCCCCCACCCCCCACCCCGCGGCTGTGGGAAGTAAGATCAAAGTGAGAAAAACAAAGTATATTAAGAAGGCTCAGCTTCTTGGGTTAAAGAGTATCCAAAATCTGGGGCAAGAGACACACAGCTCCCTGGCAAGGTGAGAACTTAGGTGAACACCAGAAGATGAGAACTCAGCCTCTCAGACTGGAATGGTGCCATACAACCAAACTGCAAAGGAGGCAGCTGGGGCACTACAGAGACTCCTGACATTCTGTAAGGTGTATACAGCATGGCCTGACATCCTCTTAGCATCTGAGCTAATCTACTGATTTAAGCAGATTCATACAAATCAAGACCCTTTTCAAAAAGGGCTCCACCTCCTTTTAAGCTTCAAGGCTAACCACATGTGAGCTAAGCTTCACTACTATGTACAATGCTTTCAATCCCATACCTTTAGTAGAAAATATATTTTATAATACAATTTAGTAATGTGTGTGTGTGTGTGTTACATACCTCATAAGTTTTAAAATACAATGAGCTTAGGAGATATATATTCATATATGGTTTCTTGTTTATTTCCCTCTATATTGTCCAAGTTCTTGTTATAACCCACTATGTTAAACTAATAACCATGACTCATCATGTGGATTCTATCCAAATACTCTTTGTATCATGTCTATAAAATTTGACAGAGGTGATTAAATTCACCTTAACATCACACTCCAAAATGGAAGATGTCCCTTCTCATACCAAACAAATACAAAAGTTACAAACTCCAGTGACTATAGTACTGCTTCCTAAGTGACTCAGGGCTCCTGGCCAAACACTGCCCCAGGCAACATGAAGAAACCCACTGGCACAAGCTCTGTGCACTGTACCTCATGCGATAGTGGAGTCGGAGAGACGTCTTGTCATCCACAGTGATGGGGTGGTTCGGAGCATACCAGAGCTTGGTGCTCTCATTGTACAGGGCGAAGAGGTTGTGACATAGAGGAGAAATATCTGGGGAAAGAGCACACCAGAAAGTTATACGCAGCTGCATTTGGTCACCTACTTCCAACGTGCAACATATGCAAAGATAAGGAATTCTTTCATCCAGAAACAATCTACGTCACCTCATCCTCTCAAGGCAGATACTGCTCTTAACGATATTCACTCAAGGAGTTTTAACCATAGCTCCTCAGAGCATGTATTGTGGCTCCTGGCGAACCAAATTATTTAAAAATAAAATTTGGTGACAATTCTCATTACAGGGGTCTTACCAAATTCTTATTAAGAAATAAGAGGGCTATCTCAGAGGCCCATAGATCCTACCTGATATGCACCTTTTGGACCACAGCAAGGCAAGAAACATCTGAGAAATGTAGGACTTCCTTAATCTGATTGCTATAATTTGTTTAAACAATTATGACACTGTGATTATACACTGATGGCGGATGTCCTTCTGTATATATGTTTCTCTTATTGGTTGATGAATAAAACACTGATTGGCTGCTAGTCAAGCAGGAAGTACAGAAGAGCCTATGAGATGAGGAGAATTATGGGGAGAGGAGGCAGGGAGACTGCCAGAGAAAGACACCATGTAGAGACTGGGAAGACAGGATGCGCCAGGCATTCTAGGTAAGATAAGGCCATGTAGAAAAATATAGATTAGTAGTTATGGGTTAATAATTGAGAGAGGAGATAGCCAATAAGAAGCCCTAGCAATCAGCCAACAGTTTTATAATTAATAGAACATCCATGTATTTATTTGGGGTTCATCGGCTGCAGGACCGGGCTGGAAAGAAACTCCAGCAACAATACATCATATACACAAAGAAGCTCCTGGCCACCATACAAACTGCATATTAGGATAAGCAATATACAAAGTAACTTTGTCAATGATTAAAATGTATTCTCATTAATTATTAAATATACTTAAGTAATCTTTACACTATCATAAGTGTATTTATTAGCATTTACTAGTGAGAAAATCTCTTAACAAAGCTAGCCCAATAGTGCTGTGCCTTTCTACTCCACTACCTGCTCTTTAAATAATAACCAGCCAGGTAGGAAAGCCAGATGAAGAAGTGCCTTGTTTCTGGATCCATCAGGAGATAGCACACACATATACTCCAAACAAAAGAATGAAGAAATATGAGTGTCAATGATCAGTAGTTAATGTTATCTTTAGCTTTGGCCAGATCAAACTTAAGAAACGGTAATCTAAAATTAACATCTCTACCCCCACCCTCATAAAAAGAGTGCTTCTTCTGAAACAACAGTGGCATTAACAAGGCCACTCCTGATCCTCACAGCCTCTCCCAGTGTAACCCTGGGTTAGAAGTTACTGGTACCTGGGCATCTCAAAGTCCTCTTCAGTCACTTCAGTCTGGGCCTCTCAAAAGAATAAGTGTGGACTGGCAAGATAGCTCAGCAGGGAAAGGCAATTGCCACCAAGCTAGACACCCTTAGTTCAATCTCTGGGACCCACATGGTAGAAGGAGAGAACCCACTCATGCAAGTTGTTTTCTGATCTCCACACATGTAGGCTCATATGCTACACACACACACACACACACACACACACACAAATGTAAAAACAGAAAAAGGAATCAAAGAGGAAAGTCTTCCCTTTAATCACTTCCAAGAACATCTTCCTTTGTAATCAAGAGCCAACATATTCTTCCCCATGACTTCAGCCTCTCCTCTTTGGTGTCTAATGCACTTTAGGCAGGAAGATATGTACTGGGAAGCAAATGGGGCCTATAGACAAAGCTGCATTACTAATAAGATCTTGGACTATCTATAACATCCCCACAATGTTGCTCTAAAAGCTAAGGGCATGGACCAGGCTCTACAGCATCACTTCAAGTTACTTCATCACCAAAAGAAGAATTACTACAATCCTTTCCATGCAGCTTTACTGGAATACAATTTACAATTATAAAATACAGCTGTTGTACGTGTATATTCCAATGAACGTCAATAAAGCATGTGGGTGAGATTATGTGGCTATTCCTATGGTCTTACTTTCCATCTAAAATTAGGTAGGCAAACACTATGTACCTCCATGTTGGAAGGATTATGAACAGAGATTTATTTTGTTAGGTGCTCTGGTTTCTCACCCCAGCAAAGTAACAGGTTAACTTTTAAGTAAAACAAGTCTTATCTTTTTTTTTTAATTATTAAGTTATTTTTCTAAATAAATCTCACTTTTAAAAAGAGATGATGAATGGCCTTATAGTCCTTTTCACAAAGCCACAGGGCAACACTAAGATTCTCACTTCAACCCAGCACCCATGGGAGAACAAACCAGATAGCAGGTCAGGCCAAACTTAAAGGAGTTAGAATAATCACTAATACGTTAGGAAACAATACTACTCATTTCATATTTATACTTGTGCTGGTGCTTCACAAAGCACCCCGATTAGTGCTGATGGACAAGATGGGTAAATGCACTCAATCCAGCACCCACTCAGGTGTCAGGACCAATATAGCTTTGAGGCCAGCCTAGGCCATGTCTGGAGTTCTAGAACAACCTAAACTATAAAATTAGTCTATCCCCAAGACAGCCTCGCAGAAGGCAACAGTCAATTCTTGGTATTCTATAGCTAGTTCATTAATGATAAAGGCCGAATACACCATGTTTCAGCGAGAAGTAAAATCCAGGATTAGAAAAGGAGGCAGTACTCTGGCTTCCAGAACGCACTCCTTGTTCTCGGTAGAAATAAAAGGAGGAAGAGTCCAAATGTGCTCCTGGACTGCATGCAGCACTGCAGCCTCCCAGCCCCCAGCCAGTACTCACTGCACTCCTGGGCAGCCTTGATGCACAGCTCCTCCGCAGTATACTCTCCATTGCCCAGGCGGAGTGGCTCCCTATCCAACAGATAGAAGGTCACTTCCACTC